TGTTTTTGGTATAGCCACCATGTTAAAAAACTTAAATTGTCTACTGTATTTTTTGCAAACAAATATTGTTTATTAAATGGCGGTGCTAAGGCATGAAATGACAGTATTTCGGGCATTACATTTGGATGAAAATCCGAAATAATAACAATGCTCTATCAACTTCCACCTCAGAGAGTTTCTGACCTAAGTACTGAGGGTCTAATAAATAAGCTAAATAATGCGCATCTGTTATAGCCAGTTGAAAACGTGCTTCTGCTTTATGAAGTTCCAACACGTTGCTACAACCGTTAGATTGAGCTTCACTTTCACATTGGAAATAACCCAGTAAGCCCTTCCAAATGTCTGTTGCATCTGCTATGGTGCAGGTATTTCTCTGGCATTTATCCAAAGCCCATATGTGTGCCAGTTGAGGTTTATGGGAATCTTCTTTAGAAATCCAGTGAAGTACGTAATTATTTTAAAACGTTTTTTTTTTAAACAGTGTTTTTTTTGTTTTAAAACAGTGTTTTTTAGATGAAAAAAAAAAACTGTTTTAAAACAAAAAACATTGTTTTTAAACAAAAAAAACATGTTTTTTGTTTTTTTTTAAAAAAACATTTTTTTGTCCAACCCTGATAAATGGGCACATTTTAGAACAGGTCAATAGATTTAAGTACCTGAGATGTTGGATCGATACAAACCTAAATCCTGATCTAGAAATAAGATCGAGAATAGAACAGGCCAGAAAATCTTTCGAAAAAATAAAAAAACTGCTTTGTGATTCTCGAATAAAACTCGAAATTCGACTACGTTTATCAAAATGCTACGTCCTGGTCGACTCTTCTATATGCAGTTGAAACGTGGACCCTTAAAACATCAACTGTAAATAAATTGGAGGCCTTTGAAATTTGGATCTACCGGAGAATACTCAAAATTTCATGGAGATCGCATACCTCAAACGAAGAAGTGCTGCATAGAATAGGCAAGGAAAGAGAACTTTTTAACACAGTAAAAGTTAGAAAAACATCATACCTAGGCCACATACTGAGAAATAATAAGTACCAATATGCCCAACTAATAGTGAAAGGAAAAATCGAGGGAAAGAGAAGCCTAGGAAGGAAAAGACTATCGTGGCTCAGAAACATCCGACAATGGACAGGGCTAAATTTTGAACAGCTAATAAGAACAGCTGAAGATAGAGAAGAGTTTAAAATTGTAGTAGCCAACCTCATTGAGGAGAGGGCACTTTAAGAAGAAGGGAGCGCCTCTTAACACTGAAAATAATACAACCGCAGAGATAAACCGCAGAATTTGCACGGCCAACAGATACTATTTTGGGCTCAATCTAATCTTTAAATCCACAATTATATTTTCTCTTTCTTCTTGGACGACTGGAGAGAAATTATTGAGGAGGCTACGACTCACGAAGAGTTGTAAAGCCAGAATGACGATGATGATGATACATGTAGGAAGGCCGATCAGATCTGTTCGTCTGGAATTTTTCCTACGTGGTTTTCGATATAACGTTGTTAGTTTCCTTAAGTTTCCTGGTATCCTCATGACGTCAACCTACAGAAATCCTACTGGAAGGCAATATGGGAACAGGTATCAACGTTTGCCCCTTCTATTTGTCACACTTTGACAGTATGTAGAGTTAAAACCGTATGTTTTTTTAATTACATAAATAAAACTTGGTGTGTTTATGTATAAATGTTAATCAACAACCACGCATATCGCGTTAATTTGTTCATGATAACCATAGAAAAAGGATGGTTCCTTTGAGTAAATAAAATTATCTTGACTGAATTTATCTATATACAAATAATATATATCCCGCTAATACATTTTAAATTGGAGAGTATTCAAAACAACGTCATTATATAAATTATTGTTAAACTGATGTCAAATGAGGCTCGATATTTACAGAAGACCTCAAATTATATTTAAAAGGGCTTTATTATAGTATACGAGGTGGGAATTCTACATTTTGGTACAGTAGGTAACGGTAAAATATATTGATTTTCAATTTAACTTGATATTAAGGTCAGGCGCTTTCAATGTCCCTGAAAAATTTCAACAAATTTTCGAGTTTTACTGTCAAACTCTTCTATTAGAATTATTACGGTTACTATTACGATTTTTTTACGAAACATAATAGAATTAATCATTACTTCAGGCTGTAGGTAATAGGACTATAGAATAAGTGGCAAGCAAAGAAAATATTGGCAAAGAACAATTTGGATTCACACAATTTGGATAACAACATAAATAATTATGACATGCGTCGTTAATAAATTTATATTACAAGTACAGCTATAGTTAGAGTAAATTATACTTCTACTGGCGAAATATCGATAGAACGGGGTTTGATGCAGGGATGTGTTCTGTCGCCGTCGCTATATGTGTTTGGAAAATATTTTTCAAAAGACCAAGTACTTACGCTAAGGCTGAAACGGAAATTATGGCAGAAAGTATCGACTATCTACTGTAGCTGTTGGATAGAAGTAGAAGCAGACAGTCGAAAATGGGTCATAGATATAAACATTCTAAAAGACAAAATGGATGACCGTAGGTAAAATTTATGTTGCACCAACACCGATAACGAATGGCGGACATACTATCGAACTAGTATCACACTTTAAACATTTGAGAAGTTGTCTAAATATAAATCGACACAATGAATAAAATAGAGGCGTTTGAGATGTGATACTACCGAAAAATGTTGAAAATTTCCTGGGCTACGCACACTATTAACAACATCCTCAAACTGCTAAATAAAGGTCGAGAGCTTCTAAATATTGTCAAAACGACAAAGGTTAGATACTTTGGATATGTAATAAGAGGCAGCATGAATCAGATTCCTGGCCTGATTATTCAGGAAAAAGTAGAAAGCAAGACATAGATGGGTCCTAAAAGGCTCTTGGAAAAAGAACTAATAGCGGGACGAAGATTAAAACGACGACTCTTCAAACGAAAAATGAAATTGGGATTAGGAACATTGAATACCCGAACTCTATACCGAACTGGAGCACTCACATCTCTACTAGACATAGTGAACACGCAAAAAGTAGATGTTTTAGCACTGCTGGAAATGCAGCAGACGAGAACTGGCACTCTTGACAAGAAAACCTATTAAATATATATTATAGCTGCAATGAAAGTCAACATGAAGATAGGATGGAATTTATTGTAAACCAAAGAATAAAAGGCCTACAGTCAAATAATGTGTTATTTGAGCTTAGAAGGGAAATTCTTCAATTAAAGTTTGACCAATTCACATGGCCCAATTGACGACAAACCAGACGAAATAAAAGAACAGTTCTTTGAAGGCCTAGAGCAAACCTACAGAAGATATCCCAGAAATGACACTGACAAAATCAATGACACAATGACCAAAGACAAAAGATTGTGTTAGGTGAGATGAATGCAAGAATACAACGAGAGCAAGTTTAGATGCTCACTATAGGAAGGCAGAGCCTACACAATATCAATAGCGCTAATGGATTACGGCTGATAAACTTAGCAGCAGCACTAAATATGACAGTCGCTAGAATCTACTTTGAACACAAGAACATTCACAAGGTAACCTGGACCTCTCCTGATGGAAGAACAACGAGTCAGATTGATCACAACTTAGTATATTCAAGGCATTAAAGAGAAGTAATAAACTGCAGAAGTTATAGAGACGCAAACATAGACTCAGATCATTGCCTAATGATCTCAACATTAAGGGATAGAATTTCAAACATCAGTAAAGAAACTAAAATGGACAGAAAAAAATGGAAAAAATAGACTAAGAAATCAAGATGTAAATAAAGAAGGCTAGACAGATATAGACTCCCACTGATCCGGAATAAAGGAAGATGTTGAATGCAAGAATGCCACAAAAGATAAAAATGAAACCTACAGAAAGTTGCTTACCAACAAACTAGAACAGCTGTACAGAAATACCGGAAAAAGAGAAGAGAAGAAAAGGGGATACATAAAAGAAAAAAAAACATTAAAATGAGGAACTAAAATATATAAAAAATCACAAGAGAGAAAGAATTCAGATCATGCTATAAGAAAATTAACAGAAAAGAATTCAAGGCAACTACAAGTCAATGCACGTATGTAATGAACACATAATGAAAGTGTATGAAATGACATTATTGTAGCCCTAAAAGAATCAGCTACAAAAATGGGTTTAATAATAAGCACCAACAAGACAGATATTCTATCAAGAGCCAGTAGGAACCAAGAAGAGAGGCAGACCAAGATCTAGATTCAAAACTCAAGTCGAAGATGACTTGAGGAATGTAGGGGTCAGAAATTGGAAAGCCAGAGCGAAAGGTAGGGGAGAATGGAGACTAATTCTTGAACAAGTCAAGACCCACCCAGGGTTGTAGAGCCAAAGATGATGATGAATAAGCACCAACAAAACGAAGGATATGAAAATAAGCACGCAACCACAAATCCTACGACCACTTGTTATAGAGAACGACGTCATCGAAGCAGTGAACGAATGTGTATACCTGTGAGCGTTGTTTAACACTGAAAATAATACTGCCGCAGAATTTGCACGGCATACAGATGCTATTTTGGTCTCAATCTTCTGAATTTTCCAGAACTTATAAGTCCTGAGGAATACTTATTGCCTTGTACTATAAGCCATTTCGAAGACATCTGAAAAATCTTAAAAAGCATATAAAACAGAGAATGTGGAAAGACAGGAAAACTCGCTGTATATTTTTATGAGAAATACCGATTACATAGACCTACTACTGATTAAACGATCCTGTATAAATGTCTGTTGAAACTTGTGTGTGCCTTTTTTAATTAAAATTTCAAGATTGTACATTTTTCAACATGCACTCATATTAGACTGTGAAGCCAACCTCGTATCTTCAATATTTGGTTGTTTTATCAACAGTTGTTTATCTATTTATATTTATTATAAACCATGAACAATTATTTCTAAGTAATAATTAGTTTTTAATGTTTCACAACTAAAATATTTAAATAAAATCAATTGTACTTACTTTCTCCCTAACGCCATCATTCCATATATTACCCCAGTCAGAAAGATGAATCCGCTACCGAATATCGCAGTCAGTCCGAAGCTTAGTATAATTGGCGGTAAGGCAAGTCTAAAAAGATTTTTATTAATAATGTAATGAAATGAGCATATGTCTGCAACAGTACTTATATAAATTATAGAAAAAGTTAAGAATACAACTATTATTAAGTATATGTATATAACATCACAATCCAATCTCTAAGTCTCTTTCTCTTTTAATCCAAATATCTAATTTAAATTATACTTACATGCCATATGCAGCAGCTCTATTCCAGTAGGGTCTACCATCTATAAAATCAGCAAGTTTTTGAATATGTTCCACAAACATACAGCAGCATGGTGCTTCACAGCTTAAAACAATAAATCCAGCTACAATTTGCCACAAACCAGCTACAATTGAACCGAAGGAAAAACTGACGCAGAGCCATATTCCCAGAAACATTGCAACTGTAAGAAGAAATATATATTATTTTACTTTTATATGTGTTGTAAAAACAACAAGTTATATTAATATTAGGTTATTTTTCGTTTTAATAAATGTTGGCTTGAATCTTATATCACAGACTGTACTTCTCGTCTACAAAAATATTCGTCTTAGCGCCATATAAGCGGGTTGTTTTATTAAGACATTAATGCCGCTGTACCCAACATTTACATAGTGTCGTGTGTAAATTGTGTCAGGTCAAAAATTAATAGCAAATCGGAGTCGCTAAGCAACGTGTATGTGTGAAACTTTCTCAAAAAATGTAGTAAACAGTCATAATTCAAAGATCACGCTGTTTCAAAATCTGGTATAAATGAATAATTTTGTAAAACGAACTCTTTTATTTTGTAATAGTTTTGCATACCAGACACCACCTCAAGGGCTTTAACTTCAGATGCTGTGGCAGCTGGGTAAATTGAAGTCAGCAATCAGATGGATCTTTTTTTTTTCACAAAATATGGAATATTTGTCAAATGTAGACTTTGGTGGAAAATATGTCATATTCATATATGTCATATGAAAATTGTACTTTTCTGACATCCTTACAAGCAGTCACATAATCAACAGTCACATAAATATCTTTGTTTTTCAATATCCGCTCAATACAGGCGTGGATAGAATCACATTCCATATATTTATGCCCTTTTTAACTAAAAATTTTTTCTATTTCTAAATTTTTTTGGATGCAATTAAAATCCAAATGCATTGCTACATTTGGATAGCCAAATGTAACAATGCATTTGCCATTGTGATGTTCCGGTTTTGATATGTACAGTTGCGGTCACGGAATAGTTTACAGGTTCACGTATCTAGGAGCCCATTTTTTAAATTTTTACTTCGTTTAAAAGCACCTTTTACGTCAAAGTGACGTTGCCAGTGGTGTACTAGCTAGAATAGGTAGATTAAAATTAAAATATCAAAATATTTTACAAAATGAAAAATATAGAAAACAGTTTTTTGAATAAAATGGATTATGATCTTAATAACGAAAATAAAGAAGTCTTTTTTTTAATATGCATTTTATTTTAAATCTATTTTATATTAAATAACGATAAACAATGATAAATAATAATTAATATTGAATATTAATAATTAGCATTGACGTTTTGAAATTTTTTGACTTTGACATTTATCAAATCCGTACGACACTGCAATTTTACAGTATTACAATATAAAAAGTAAGGTGTAAACTATTCTGTGACCGCAACTGTACATCCATAGCTATATATCACAACTGCTAACTTTTCTTTCAGTAAGCGTTCTTTTAAATAGTCTATCAAAAAAGAGACAAAAGTGCTTTTGCTTTTTATTTGGAGGTTTTTTGTCTACAGTAGTGACTTGGAAGTTTAGGCAATCCTTCCAAAAATGCTGTAAGGTATGAATACTCTTCTTCTTTGTGTGAGTTATCTTTCACCTTAATTTTGTTGAGTTTATAAAGGAATATAGTTATTTCATACCTATGAAGCTAATTTCATGATCTTCTTAAATTCATTCTTTCAACAAAATTGCACTATTAAACACTACAATAAACGCAAAGACGGCAACTCATATGCTTTAGGTTGGAATATACATGTGCTGTTGGGTGGAGTTCATAAGTAGCATGGCTGATATGAGCTATTAGAACTCAAATTTAGCAGCACATTTGAATGTGGTATTAGAATTGATTGAATATGTGGTATTAGAACATATTTGCAAAAGAATCTGATCCATGCTATTACAAATTTATACATCATTTGCTAAATAATGTGTTCTTGTACTTAGGATTAGAATCATTTGGTAAAATGTGGGCAATAGACTCAGAGTCAATATCTAACTCATTTTGTCTAAAAATTCTCATACATGGTATTAGAATGTAGGTGTATTGAGCAGCTTATTTTATTTAAGAAATAAATTAATTAAAAATATTTGTGGCCATTTTTTGACTGGCAAACTGTTATCAATGTATTGTATTCTTAAATGTATGTAAAAATGTCAGACATTGTTGTTATAAACCAATCCAAACTTAAAAAATCTGTGGGAAACATATGTCAATTTTATAAATATACCTAATTCTAGTTTGAATTTGGAAAAGTATGTATAGTTGAGAACAAGAGGATTGACATAATGAGAATATCTTGCTTGTTTCTGCAAGTTTAGCTTTTTTGGAAAGTGATTAAATATGGTTATCCTAAAATGTCTCTTATACAGAAAAATATGGTTTCTCTGTCATCCTCCAGGGTTCAAGTAAAGTAGACATTCAAATTATTTCATATTAATGAAAAAGTAATATACCTACTAAATAATAATAGTTGTTATAAATTAATAAATATACAAAAATTACTTGAAAAACTCTAGATTACGAATTATTTATGCAGTACAATCAATTTTGAAGTTAATAAATCATCTTACTAAATCCTCCAAATGTTCCAACCCCTCTTCCAGCAAATCTCATCCACCATGGAACATCGTCTTTAGCCACTGGATCTTGTCCTGGTCGTGCCATAAGGGCAGATAGTTTATCTTGCAGTGACTGAAACAAATCATGTTTAATTTACTTTACTGAAAATTTTGTCTTTCTCCTAAATATTTACCATTTTTATGGATTAAAATTAATTTTTGGCTGACACAATCTCTTTCTGTACTCCTACAAGAAATACTATCAAATGTCAATGGCGGTGACGATGTCAACAGATAAACGTCAAGACAAATAGACAAATCAGAGAAGTGATTTGATGAACTCCCACATAAAAATTTATGATCACAAATAAAGAAAAATAACTAAATTAAATTTAAATAAAAGCAAGTAGTTCTGTAATTATCATCTGCATTACCTCTATAGGTGCACTTATGTTTTATGTGATTCAAAATACTTTTGTTAACATTTTAATGTTTTAGCTCAATGTCTCAAGTCTATGATAAAGATTAAAAATATGCTTGATAAGAAAATATACTTTTATTTTTAATTATGACTTTAATATGATTACATACTGGTATACCTTAATCAATAAATAATAATGTATAAATAAATTAATTACAAGAAATATTGGTTGCATACCTCAAAGAGCATTATGTCTGAAAGCCTTGAAATAAATTTCCTTTACTGTTAAAAAAGTAGAATTTGACAGTCCGACAGTCGCTCATATGACATATTTTATAATTATTTTTAAAAATATTTTAAATAACTACTATTCTTATAGCTTAAATTTAAAGTAAATAAAACATGGATATTTTTCGGAAAATATTTGGTCTACACCATAATGAAGATCAATCCAATAGGTAAGTATTTAATAGAACATACAATTATTGAAAAAAATACTCACAGTTCTAGAAAAATCTGGATCTTATAGCTGATGCTGAATGTGTAGATTATAAATAAATTTATTTTGTTTTAATGACTAATCACAAAACAAAAAAAACAACATTATATATTATATAAAAGAAATGAAAACATGATTAAACATTGCATCATATTTAAATGTAAGTACATCCAGCAAGTGGCTTTTAATTATATTATGGTTTTTGACTTCAAAGACAAAATATTGTTGTTTTTTAAATTGTTGCTTAGTTCTTTATGGGCTCTTTAATTAAGAGAAAACGTCATGGAAACTTTATATTCATTTGAAAGGCCTCTCAATGTTATTATGTATGGAATATAATATCATTCAAAACATTTAATTTTTCATTGCACATACATTTGACCAATGGCATAGGCTTGTGAGTTAAGAAAAGCTCCCCGATATAGTTTCTAAGGGGGTCAAATTGCACGAATTCAGTAGCTAGTTAACATCACTTCCATGTGAGATCACCATGCCCTCAAACCATCAGTCTTGTTGAAAACACATATTATGTCATTGGTTTCCATATCATCCAATTCAGTCAAAAAGAAGTTGGTGGTCATAAACCTATAACACTCACTATTGACAATCTTGGCTTAGCATTTACAAAGAAATATGGATATATGACAATGTTAGACTACTATAAACTTTTAAAGAGGAAACCACCTTACAAATCAATTTGCCTACCAGACAGGCAAATCCACTATAAATGCTCTTAACTCCCTAGTCAGAAGTATTTAAAAGACAATAGTGGCAAAAGAAATAGCTCTTTGCACTTTCATTCACATTTAATCACTCTTTTTTGCTTCAAAAATAGACTTTTGTTCATAGAAATTGGCCCTCTGTAAACATTTGACTTGAACTGTATTTTTATAGAAAGTATAATCAGAAGAGACATATATATTGTTTAAAAGGCAGTTTAATATGCTTTAATATGAATTTAAATTTATCATGGACTTATCTTTTTATATGTGTGACAACTAATAAACAAATATAAAGTGTTTATTTGGCAATATCAGTCAGTGGAAAATAAGATAAAGACTACTGGAAAATAAAATTAGCGCTAAAGCATCTCAATTCTCAAGACCATAATATGCCTCTGTGGTACTGTTTGCTATATTGAATTGTGGAATGCTTTTGGAGGCTTTATCTCTATGATCTGGGGTGCAATTTCTATGGGAGCATGAACCCCTCTGTTTTCATTAATTATTAAAAAACTAATTGTTACATTTTTAATTGCGAATTACCCTTTTCCTGTTAACAATAAAAATGTTAATTTGCTTAATGGATTAATTTCAATGTATTAAACATAAAAAGCCAAAATAATTTTTTAAAAACTTATACTCCAAGCATATTTTGTATATTATATGAAATATTTCTATAGCAGACATTAGACAAGTAGGTTATTGTAATGAAATGTTTGAAAAAATAACTTAATCTAATTAAACTATTGTCTTTCTAGATCTTGGGGAATTCCTACAATAAATGAAGAAACTGATAGACCTGATAATGTTGCTCCTGAAGACCCATTTAATAGAAGAAGCTTTGACGTTTTTTCAGATCCCATCCAAATGCATCAATATTTTGAAAGTCAGTTGAATGAAGTACTTAAAATGTTTGGGTTTCATGGAAATGGAGAATTTTCTAGTAAGCATAACAAATACTGAAAAAATATAAATAAAAATACATAATATATCAGATATTGACACATCTTTCTCTGGAAGGGAAACTTATTCATAGGTTCCTCTTGGTGTAAGAAGAATATACATCCTCTGTAGTATTGTCTCTGTTTTGTTGTTTTATATGATTTCTGTTAATTATTTGATCACTTTTCAATAGAGGGACCCATTTTAATTTTTTTTTTTTTATTAAAAAGGTTAATAACTTATTTTTTATTTTTAGTTGGATTTCCTGATTTACATGACAGTTGGACACAAACACCACAACAACATGAAAATGAGAATTCTCAAAATATACGCGATCAGTTTTTGAAACCAGGCTATGAAAAGCCTAAAACACATTATTCGGAAATGGTAGATAAAGATCTGGATGATAAGTAAGTAAAATTATAATTGCAACTTTTGTAATATAATATAGGATATTTTTGTATATTTTAGAATTAAATCTGGCGATATCGCTTCAGTGTTAGGTGATAAATTTGATCGTCAAATTACTCCACATCAACCACAAGTTTCTAAGAACTTTTTTTATGGAACTAGCCAAAGTATGAGGACAATTATAAATCCAGATGGGGTAAGTTAATTTGCATATCTACTTATTGTTGCTGTGGAAAAAAGAATAGTTTTACATCCGTGAATTAATTTCTTTTGAGGAGCTACCAGTATAAATGTTTTTAGTTTTATGGATTTCACAATCTTTACTGCATATCATGTATAATCTAACGAAGAAATTCTTGTTCTACAGTACATTTTATTGTATGTATTTGCCAGTTGTTATTTTTACTTATTGGTTCCAGTATGCTTCGTAATATTTTTATGCTTTCGAACACATCTGATGCATTAGCAGATTTTTGTTTTATGTCACATGTTTCACACCCATAACTTACTATGAGCCTGATTATTGTTTTATAGGCTTGGAGTTTTATTTTCCGTTATATATCTCCCTATTTAAATATGTAATTCATGGTGAAGCCTTTTATTTATTTCAGGGTATTCTTCATTATTTGCGACCAAGTCCATTCTTAAGCACATAAATCTGTTCACGTCTTCTATGTCATCTATAAAGTCTTATTGTTATGCTTGTCTTTTTGATCTGGTTTGTAATTTTGTCTTATTTGTATTTATTGCTAATCCTACAAATTTTGCATTTTGCAGAACACTTTTTTGTTGTGTTCATTATTTTGATATCATCTTCGTACGCTACCAATTGAATGGATTTGTCTCATTCCTTGTGTTATCATAAACGCATTCCTCATCTGGCTTTGAATACATACATGTGTTTCTGTATCTATCATTGTGAGTCTTATTATGTTGCTGGTATGCCCAGCTATTGAAATATATTAGGTAGTTTGGTACTTTCTATTAAATCATAGGCATGCTTATAGCCTACAAAAATATGGCAAACGTCTATGCTATATTCTCATGCTTTGGCTAGTATTTGTTGGAGTCTGTAAAGAGTTGATTGATAGTAGATATATTTTTCCTAAATTCTGCTTGATCTTTACGGATGATTTTTTAAGCGAGATGTTGAAATCTTCAATTAAGAAAATTTTTATCAGTATTTGTATCCTATGTATAGAGATATTTGGGTATTTTTCTTCTCTCCAATTTACCATTATAATGAAAAAAATTTCATCTATTATTAAAACGAATCCCTTATTGGTATAAATGTGTTTATTTTTGTTAAATAAAAAACCGCTTTCAAGTATTTTTAATAAAATAAATCTAATCATATTCTTTATTTTTTGTATAGTCGATTGAAACACACCGCACGATGAGGGACAACGACGGTAATGAAGAAAGTACTGTTTGTCATAAAATCGGGGATAAGGAATATTGTGTCATCAAAAAGAAGAACAAACATGGCCAAGAAGAAGTTACCGAAAATTACACAAATATGACAGAACAAGACAAGGATATATTTACAAAACCTAGACATTCTCCACAAATTCAAGATAGGACCAGCCCTTCTGATTTTCCTTGGAGTAAATTTTTCTAATTTGATTCTACATTTGAACAATATTTATCAAAAAGTACAAACATAAAGGTAGAATCTAAACTCATAGGATGTTTTATTGATTATTAAAAATACATGAAAGCTAACAGTTTCCATTCCAATGCAAAACATTGGCATAAAGTAGTGCCAACAATTTCATTTATGCACAAGTTAATGATTTTATTTTTAGGTTTGTACTT